CTCAGAAGGTTCTTCCGTGGTCGCGCCCTTTGGCTCTGCTTCTTCACTAGTTGATAATTGGGGAGTGGGAGTCGTTGGCGACTGATCAGGAGATTCAGACGTCGCAGTCTTCTGAGCTTCGGGTTCAGATGCCAGTGACTCCGGAGTGGGGCTGTCAGTTTGATCGGGAGTGGGCGTGGTCACTTTCATGCAGCCAGCATTCGCTGGCCAATCACAGACGAACTCGCCGGGGTTAAAGTGCAGCCCGGCTGGACAGTCGAGAGGATCAGTGGTGGCGCATGAGAGGAATTTGGTGCAGTCGTCTGGATGCGGATAGATGCCGCGTTCGTATTTGTCGAAACACTCTTCCAGGGTTAATTCTGCAAAATTATTGAACATTCGTGTCTAGTTAGAGACCTTTTTGGGAGATTGCAGTTTGAGCAATGTTGCCAAACGTTCCAAAATTGCCCTAACTAAGAGAAAAATGCTTGAATATTTACGTTCGTTTTGGCAATTTCCCAACGTTGCCAGCGCCAGCACAAAAATGAGACCAACGGCGATCATAGTGCAAGAAAAAATCCACTGAAGCGTCACCATGTACTTGCGGCACTTGATTCTCAGTCCCATAAACAAAGCACGGCGTTTGTTGACGAATAATGCACTTTTCGCAAATTAGCTACTAATCAATCGGCACATTTTTTCAGTTCGCTCACTTCCTATTCGACGATTAATCGCAATCAGAACCAACACCCACGGCCTGAGTTCGCTAAATAGGCAAAAAATTAGAGTTGGGTTCGACTTTATTAAGATCCGCCGCATGTTTGGAAGATCCTCAAAGAGAATTTTGATTGACCGGACAATGGAAGTGGTTGCGAGAATCGACCATCGACGACATAGAAAACTATGAGATTTTCTCTAATTTGTGCCTGTTTTTGGGGATTTGTTGGAAATTTGGCAAGGGCCTTTAACAGTCCCAAGCAACTTTGAGCACAGGTTGGCAGAAACTCACAGTAAAAAGTCCAAAACCGCATTTAAGTTAAAAACAATTTTTTATCGCATGTTTCAATCCTCGATGGTAAATGCTTCTCTTCATGAAGGATCGCAAAACCAGTTTAGCGATATGAATCGTGAATATTCCATGTACGAACAATCACGACTTCAAATTCTAATAACATGAGTTGATTGTGACTAAACCGGCCGATTGTTTCAAGCTGTAATTATTGTTGTTGTTATTAAAAGCAACAAATTTCCATGTCCGCATTAGCTAGAAGATGAACAAAATCTACCTGTTTTTCTGATAATCGATTTATGAATGATTTAACTTCCGAAAAAGCTGCATTTTAGAAGCTTAAAACAACACAAACTTTGGAGGATTCTGTGCAATAATTTGTTGTTAGCAAATGGATTATTGGTCAGATTAGGCGTGGAATTTCCATCTGATTGGGGGGCCTGAGCCTGGTGTTGATCGATTTTTAAGGATTTTACTAACATTTGGAATTTTTTTTGCAAGTTAAAACAAAATCGGGAATAATATCTCCATACGCTCTATCAAAATGGTCCTTACGACAGATCGGAAATTTTCAACCGTTTAGAAGATATGATTTTTTAAAGTTTGGGTGCTTCCTAAAATTGGCTCATGTTCTATCTAAAGTTGCCTCTTTTCGAAGCAGTTTTACCTCTGCGTTTGGGCGACAAATATATATATACATATTATGGTTCCTCTTTTGATCTAGAAAAATGTTGGGGATTATAGTATATTTTATTAGGAAAAAAATAGAGAGTGAGCAAAAATACAGCTGTTTAAACGCCGGCCTCAAATACGCGATTTTATCCAAAAGCGCGCTCTCCTTTAAAAAATCGTAACTACTAATCTGGAGCACGTACGCACTTGAAAGTTTCGAAAAATAAAGCAGACACTTGAGTCTTAGAACTGGCAAATTCCCATTGAAATTCAGCTAGAGGTTAATTTTTTCTTGCTATTTAAACGTGGATGTATAAATCGTTTGCGGGCAAAAGCGCGCAGACTTAAAAAAAATCGGTGTTTCTGATCTTGGGCGTGAACGAAGTTCAAAGTTTTGCAAGATATAGAACACAATTGAGTCTCTCTTGGGAGATTTGCATCGGTATCGCACTAGATGCTGATTTTTTCCTGCTGTTTCAACGCGAGTCTAAAAATGAAAAAAATAATTCAAAAGCGAGCGCACTTTAAAAATCGTGCCTACTAATGTAGAGCAAGTATGAACTTGAAAGTTTCCCAAGATAAATCAAACATTTGAATCTAATAATGAACAAATTTGCATCTAAATCGCATTAGATCCTGATTGTTTTTCAGCTATTTAAACGCGCGTCTAAACATTAACGTTTCTAGGCTTTCTTCGAAAAATTCATAACTAGTCATCTACATCAAGTTTGAACTTGAAGATTTTGAAAAATATAGCAAACAGTTGAATCTCAGAATTGAAAAATTGTCTTTGAAATTGCTCTAGAAGGAAATGTTTTCTTGCTGTTTAAACGCGGGCGTAGAAATTAGCGTTTGCGGCAAAAAGCGCGCTTACATAAAAAAAATCAGTATTACTGATATGGGCGAAGTACGACGTTAACACTTTTGCAAAATATAGTAAATAATTGCATCTCAAAATTGGGAGATTTTCATCTGAATCGCACTAGATACTGATTTTTCTCAGCTGTTTCAACGCGAGTCTAAAAATGAAAAAAACCATTCAAAAGCGAGCTCACTTTAAAAAAATCTTTACTACTGATCTGGGGTATGTACGAAGTTAAAACTTTAGCAAGGTATAAAAGACAATCGAATCTCAAAATTGGGAGATTTGCATCGGAATCGCACTAGATGCTGATTTTTCTCTGCTATTTCAACGCGACTCTAAAAATGGAAAAAATTATTCAAAAGCGCGCTCACTTTAAAAATCGTACCTACTAATCTGGGGCAAGTACGAACTTGAAAGTTTCGCAAGATTAGTCAAATATTTGAATCAAATAATGAGCAAATTTGCATCGAAATCGCATTGGATCCTGATGGTTTTTCTGCTATTTAAACGCGGGTCTAAACATTAACGTTTCTAGGCTTTCGTCAAAAAATACATAACTAGTCATCTAGATCAAGTTTGAACTTGAAGATTTTGCAAAATATAGCAAACAGTTGAGTCTCAGAATTGAAAAACTTCCATTGAAATTTCGCTAGACGTAATTTTTTTCTTGCTGTTTAAACGCGGGCGTATAAATTAGCGTTTGCGACCAAAAGCGCACTCACATAAAAAAAATCAGTATTCCTAATATGGGCCAAGTACGAAGTTAAGAGTTTCGCAAAATATAGAAAATAATTGAATCTCAAAATTGGGAGATTTTCATCTGAATCGCACTAGATGCTGATTTTTCTCTGCTGTTTCAACGCGAGTCTAAAAATGGAAAAAATTATTCAAAAGCGCGGTCACTTTAAAAATCGTATCTACTAATCTGGGGCAAGTACGAACTTGAAAGTTTCGCAAGATAAATCAAACATTTCAGTCTAATAATGAACAAATTTGCACCGAAATCGCATTAGATCCTGATGGTTTTTCTGCTATTTAAACGCGCGTTTAAGCATTAACGTTTCTAGGCTTTCGTCGAAAAATTCATAACTAGTCATCTAAATCAAGTTTGAACTTGAATATTTTGCAAGGCATAGCAAATAGTTGAAGCTCAGAACTGAAAAATTCCCATTGAAATTGCGCTAGACGTAAATTTTTTCTTGCTGTTTAAACGCGGGCGTATAAATTAGCGTTTGCGGCCAAAAGCGCGCTCACATAAAATAATCACTATTACTGATATGGGCCAAGTACGAAGTTAACATTTTCGCAAAATATAGTAAATAATTACATCTCAAAATTGGGAGATTTTTATCTGACTAACATTATATGCTGATTTTTCTCGGTTGTTTCAACGCGAGTCTAAAAATGAAAAATCTATTCAAAAGCGCGCTCACTTTAAAAAAATTTTTACTACTGATCTGGTGTATGTACGAAGTTAATACTTTAGTAAGATATAGAAGACAATCGAATCTCGAAACTGGGAGATTTGCATAGGAATCGCACTGGACCCTGATTTTTTACTGCTGTTTAAATACGAGTCTGAAAATGAGTCTCCAGTCAAAAATGCGCTCTTCTAAAAATTCCCGAGCTACTAATATGGAGTACGTTGAATTTGAGAGACAAAGCCCCGAAAGAATTGTGAAATTTCAACCAAAATTCAACATTGAACATCAAGGAAAACTAACAATGTTCAAAATCCTGCACTTCACAACCGCGGTGAGAGTCTGTTGCTGTCGCCATCTATTTTACTCGCTCAATCAATTTGTTACCCGCTTGAGAACTAATATTTATAGGGTGTCCCCAAAAAAATCCAACCTTAAATGGCTGAAAAAACCGAAAAATTTTGTGAATTTGCGTGTTCTGGGGTTTTCCACACGAAAACACACACGTGATTGCTCGATTTGATCGATTAATTGGTTTAAAGTTACTAAGAACTCTTTGCTCTGTATCAGTAACGCGTGGATTAAAAACTCATTAAAGATTTAGCGCCTGTCGTCTCATTATCGATTACCATTGGTCGATATAAACCTAATTTTCCGAACTTTTGGGTCCAGTTGATCGAACATTCTCCAGCTCCGGTTAATTGAGCCCAGAAAAAATGACGTTTTCCAGTGTTGCCGCATTGGGATTTTTCCTGATCGTTGCTGCCAATGGCGCTCGTAAGCCACTAATGCCTTAAGAGGGGGTTCAAATTGAGTTTTTCCCTACAAATCCAGCATCAGCCAGTCTCTACAAGAGCGTCGACTGCTCCAATCCGACCAATCAGGTCATTTTACACCCTCACCCTACCAGCTGCTCGCATTATCTGCAATGCAACCATGGCACGCCACTGGAGCGCCCATGTGCCCCCGGCACCGAGTTCAGCCCTTCTATTGGTGTGTGCGTCCATCCATGGCAGTCGGACTGCACTGCTGAGGACTCAGTAGAAGATGAAGAAGATTCAGAAGAACCAGAAGAACCAGAAGCACCAGAAGCTGAACTGGAGGAAGGTACGGCGTGTGTCTCTTCTTCACCAGTGGCTTTAATGGGGAATTTGCAGAGGAGGAAGTCGAGGAAACAACGCCGCAAGGGTCACTTGAGGACGAAGAGGTGGAGGAAGGAAATGGGATAAAAGGCGCTTCAGAGGCAGAATCCGAAGAAGCAGCGCAGCCAAGCTCAGAAGAGGTGGAACCAGCTGAAGACGAAGCTGCTTCAGAGGAGGGCGAGCCTGAGGCGATTTCGCCTGAAGTGACCTGCCAATCCAGAGCAGACAGGTATGAGTTCAGAGGAGTTCAGAGTAGGAGATTATGGGAATTCGCTTGCAGTTTCTTCCTGGCTGAATACCCGGCTGATTGCACAACCTACGTGATCTGCAACTTTGGCCAAGCGGTGCTCAGAAGCTGCTCAGACGGCGAATACTTCAACCCCAGCATCTCCACCTGCACCGTTGACGGCTCACATTGTGCCTAATTTTCATTTGATAATATAGGAACTCATTGAAGTAGCATTTTTTTCAATTTATTTAAGCAGTTACACTTTAATCGTATCCGTGAATGTTCGGCTCAAATGCTTAAGATTGGCATGCGCCTGCTTCGCATTGAAGGCTGGCGCCTTCAAAGTGCTGCCCTCTAGCGCAGGACTTTAGCACCGGAAAGCCAACGGCGCAAATCACATAGCTGGCGCAGTCGGTAGGATCAGCCGCTATGAACACCCTGAAAGCGCACCGTTGCCAAAGAGACTTTTTGGGGGAATATCTGGGATTACCTGGACGGATTTTGGGCGCAGAGGCTGAAGGCGCGTCTTTCTCGACCTCCGATGGGCTCTAAATGGGACAAAAACACCCAATTTTTTTAAGCAGTCGACTTTTTAGGAACTGTTTTTATTTACTCAGAAGTGGAGCCTCGAGGGCTTCCGGCAACTCAGTGGCATCTTCCACGTCATCGGCCTCGGTCACATCTTCCACAGAGTCTTCGGGCACTTCGACCACATCCTGAAAACACGCAAATTTGCAGAATTTAATCAGTAAATCCCTTGAACCCGCTTAATTTATATGCGACAATGATGATCCGTTTTGATCGAATTTCGGTGATAAAAATATAAGTCCATAAAAACGTTATCGCGGCTCACCATCTGGACATGCAAATTGCCACCATCCGATATATTGGGGGATTTCGATAAGGGGATTAGTTTTCGGTTCTTTTGCGTAACATCGTAATCCGATGTGAGCGGAAAACGGGTGGGCTATGACCTGAAGATGGCCGATTTTCGAAACTTTCGTTTTTTTTGCTCGTCAATGCGTCGTTTTAGAGAAAAAGTGATTTTTTTTCAAAATGTGGGCGACTTCCACTGAACGTTTTTCGACTGGAAGCTGAGTTTTGGCGAAAAAAATTAAAGCGTGAAATTTTCAGCAATAGAAGACAGAAAACTAATAAAAAAAAGCATCTGGAAAAACCAGAAATAAATACCTCTTCTTCTACTTCTTGTCCAGCGGTGCAGTCAGATTGCCATGGATGGACACACACTCCAATAGAGGGGCTGAACTCAGTGCCGGGGGCACAGGGGCGCTCAAGGGGGCTGCCATGGTTGCACTGCAAATACTTGGTGCAACTGGTGGGGTGGGGATGCAGAATCACCTGATTGGCCGGAATGGAACAGTCCACACTGGAGTAGCGGCCAATAGCTGGCCGACTTGGCTCTTTCCAGCCCCCATTGGCTTGTGCAGGTTCTTCTGAAAATTCCCCAACTGTCAGAATTCACTGGTCTTTCTACCGGTTGCAGCCACTTACTCCAAGCGAATGCACTGGTAGCGACAAAGGCCAACACACAGAAAATCTTCATTGTCATCATCATCTCACCGGTTTGAGGCGAGAAATGAGCAAGTTTCCCTTTTATACCCGGTTTGGTGGAAACTGATTTTATGGTGTGAATTGACAATTGCGATGAGGGCAATAAATATTAAAGTGATTGAATCATAATAAATTCTGCAGTTGTAAATTTAATCGTTTAATTCCCCACATTAAACGCGGGTCTGGGCCACGTCACCAGACCTCCAACATTCCAGATGGTGTAAATAGTGCTTCTGAGGATTAAAGTTTCAAAATATCGGAAAGTTTTGGGGAATTGCTGCTAAACAACATCGCTTAAGCCAGGAAAACTACTGAGAACTGTTTGTGGATTTTTCGCAAAAATTGCTGTTGCAGAGATTTTTTTTTTAATCTGTTCTTAATTGCTTTTGAGACGCCCGATATTTTATGAAGAATGCGTTTTTCTGATTGRATRCACCGTTTAGGAGAAAAAATATAAAATTGTTTTTTATATCCAAAAATATTTACTTTTTTTCCAAATGACGTTAATGCCATTTGTGCAAAAACTCTTCCTTTTAGGTGGTTCAGAAAATTTTATAATATTTTTTAATCGATTGCTCTGTTTAGGGGAAAATTCAAGAGAAAATATATTCTTTCCAGCTCCTGTCAAAAACTCCATATTTACGGGAAATGTTTATGGAAAAAATGACAGGTGTCATTAATTTGGCGCAAGTAAAACAGGTTTTTCCGCCTCTCAAAATGACGTCAGTTGAGTGGAAAATGACCGAGAACCGTTAGTGGATTTTTGGCAAAAATCGCTTCTGTAGAGATTTTTTTTACATCTTCGCTTATTCCTTTTGAGATGCCCGACATTGTATGAAGAATGCGTCTTTCTGACTGGATGCACCCTTTAGGAGGAAAAAATGTAAAATTGTTTTTTATATCCAAAAATATTTATTTTTTTTTCAAAATGACGTTAATGCCATTTGTGCTAAAACTCTTCCTTTTAGGTGGTTCAGAAAATTTTATAATCTTTTTTGATCGATTGCTCCCTATAGGGGAAAATTCAMGAAGAAATCTATTCGTTCCTCCTGCTCCTGTCAAAAAATCCATATGGACAGAACACGTTTRTGGAAAAAATGACAGGTGTCATTAATTTGGCGCAACTAAAACAGGTTTTTCCGCCTCTCAAAATGACGTTGGTTGAGTGGAAAATTACCGAGAACCGTTTGTGGATTTTTGGCAAAAATTGCTGCTGTAGAGATTTTTTTTTAATCTTCGCTTATTCCTTTTGAGATTCCCGAGATTGTATGAAAAAGGCGTTTTTCTGATTGGATGCACCGTTTAGGAGAAAATAATATAAAATTGTTTTTTTTATATCCAAAAATATTTGCGTTTTTTCCAAAATGACGTTAATGCCATTTGTGCAAAAACTCTTCCTTTCAGGTGGTTCAGAAAATTTTACAACCTTTTTTAATCGATTTGTTTGGGGGAAAATTCAAGGGAAAATCTTTTCTCTTTCCAGCTACTGTCAAAAAATCGATATGGACAGAACACGTTTATGGGAAAAATGACAGGTGTCATTAATTTGTCGCAAACAAAACAGGTTTTACCGCTTCTCAAAATGACGTTGGTTGAGTGGAAAATTTCCGAGAACCGTTTGTAAATTTTTGGCAAAAATTGCTGCTGTAGAGATTTTTTTTTTATCTTCGCTTATTCCTTTTGAGATTCCCGAGATTGTATGAAAAAGGCGTTTTTCTGATTGGATGCACTGTTTAGGAGAAAATAATATAAAATTGTTTTTTTTATATCCAAAAATATTTGCGTTTTTTCCAAAATGACGTTAATGCCATTTGTGCAAAAACTCTTCCTTTCAGGTGGTTCAGAAAATTTTACAACCTTTTTTAATCGATTTGTTTGGGGGAAAATTCAAGGGAAAATCTTTTCTCTTTCCAGCTACTGTCAAAAAATCGATATGGACAGAACACGTTTATGGGAAAAATGACAGGTGTCATTAATTTGTCGCAAACAAAAAAGGTTTTACCGCTTCTCAAAATGACGTTGGTTGAGTGGAAAATTACCGAGAACCGTTTGTAAATTTTTGTCAAAAATTGCTGCTGTGGAGATTTTTTAAAATCTTCACTTAATTCTTTTTGAGATGCCCGACATTTTATGAAGAATGCATTTTTCTGATTGGATGAACCGTTTAGGAGAAAATAATATAAAATTGTTTTTTTATATAAAAAAATATTTACGTTTTTTCAAAATGCCGTTAATGCCATTTGTGCGAAAACTCTTCCTTTTAGGTGGTTCATAAAATTTTATAACCTTTTTTAATCGATTGCTCTGTTTAAGGGAAAATTCAAGAGAAAATATATTCTTTCCAGCTCCTGTCAAAAACTCCATATTTACGGGAAATGTTTATGGGAAAAATGACAGGTGTCATTAATTTGGCGCAAGCAAAACAGGTTTTTCCGCCTCTCAAAATGACGTCGGTTGAGTGGAAAATGACCGAGAACCGTTAGTGGATTTTTGGCAAAAATTGCTGCGGTAGAGATTTTTTTTACATCTTCGCTTATTCCTTTTGAGATGCCTGACATTGTATGAAAAATGCGTTTTTCTGATGGGATGCACCGTTTAGGAGAAAAAAAAATAAAATTGTTTTTTTATATCCAAAAATATTTACGTTTCTTCCAAAATGACGTTAATGCCATTTGTGCGAAAACTCTTCCTTTTAGGTGGTTCACAAAATTTTATAATCTTTTTAGCTCGATTGCTCCCTATAGGGGAAAATTCAAGAAGAAATCTATTCTTTCCTCCTGCTCCTGTCAAAAATCCATATGGACAGAACACGTTTATGGAAAAAATGACAGGTGTCATTAATTTGGCGCGAGCAAAACAGGTTTTTTCGCCCCTCAAAATGACGTCGGGTGAGAGGAAAATAACCGTGAACGGTTTGTGGATTTTTGACAAAAATTGCTGCTGTAGAGATTTTTTTTAAGTCTTCGCTTATTCCTTTTGAGATGCCCGACATTATATGTAGAAGGCGTTTTTCTGCTTGGATACACCGTTTAGGAGAAAAAAATATAAAATTGTTTTTTTATATCCAAAAATATTTACGTTTCTTCCAAAATGACGTTAATGCCATTTGTGCGAAAACTCTTCCTTTTAGGTGGTTCAGAAAATTGTCTAACCTTTTTTAATCGATTGCTCTGTTTAAGGGAAAATTCAAAAGACAATCTATTCATTCCTCCTGCTCCTGTCAAAAAATCCATATGGACGGGACATGTTCATGAAAAAAAATGACAGGTGTCATTAATTTGACGTGAACAAAACAGATTTTGCCGCCTCTCAAAATGACGTTGATGGAGTGGATGGGTAGATTCATGCTCTCTTTCTATGTCCATTCAACACAAAAACTGCGCAATAAAAAAATATATTTTTTACGAAAGACTAGGAATGAAACACGGTTTTAAGCTCGGTAAACTCATGCAGTCGTTGTAGGTGAAACGATTTCGGTTGTGGCAGCTTCAGCATCAACTGCAGTTGAAGCTGGCTCAATGGTAAACATCGCAGCTTCACCAGACGCACTGGATGGGGCCCGTTCTGTTGTCACCAAAGAAGCTTCAGCTTCAGTAGATGGCTGATTCCAAGTGGAAGTTCCAGTATGTGCTTCACTTGATCTAGTAGTGCCTACATTTGGTTCTTCAGTCTCTTCGTCTGTTGTCGTTGAAAACTCAGTTGCATTTAGTAGTTGTTGAGTGGTTTCTTCTTTCCATTCTTCTGTTACTGCAGTGGTTTCATTGGCTGCATTTGTAGTCGCCCAAACCACCTCAGAAAACACTTCCGGCTGAATAGACGCAGTGGTTTCTTCCTTTGATTCTTCAGTAACTGCAGTTGAAAACTTTTGAACTTCTGTAGTCAAGTTCGGATTCTCTGCAGAAGCTTCAGTTGTACTCAGTAGTGGTTCATGAGTGGTTTCTTCCTTCCATTCCTCTGTTACTGCGTTTGTTCCCTCATTAGACGCATCCGTCTGAGGAAGTGCAGTGGTTTCTTCCTTTGATTCTTCGGTAACTGCAGCTGAAAACTCTTGAACTTCTGTAGTCAAGTTCGAATTCTCTGCAGAAGCTTCAGTTGCACTCAGTAGTGGTTCATGAGTGGTTTCTTCCTT